TAAAAAAAAAATTATATAATTATTTATATAATAATATATTTTATATATTATTTATATAATATTATATTATATATTTATATCAAAGTGTTTAAATCATAACGGCTCGTGTGGTCATGTGGTTTTGCAGTTATGTGGTTAATCCCTTATTTTGTATATATTTAGTCTAGGTTCAAATCTCACACTTTACATCTAATTTTTTCAATTCAATTTTAACGAGCTAATTTCGAGTCGAACACGAACACAAATATTTAAATCGAGCCGAGCACGAACACACTGTTCACGAGCCAATTTCGAACACGAGCTATTTCGAACGAGCTGAACACGAGCAAAGCCCGAGCTCGCTCAAGCTCGGCTCGTTTACAACCCTAGAGATGTCTTTTCCAACATTTTGATTTTTCTTGGTTTACCATGATCATAACCTATAATCTGTTAATATTTTTATAAAGATTATGATATTTACTTGCTACTATTAATATGTCCTACACCAATTTATCTGACTTGACCTAAGATGACCAGAAATTTTTTTTTGAACTTTCATATGTATCTTTGTGGTTGTGAGCACTAAGGATTTATGCTTGGGTATATATATAGTTAACTAATTCAAAATTTAACTCTTGATTGATCAAAAGTTCGAATGGATATTGACTTGGTTTCATCTTATGCTCTTCAAAACAACTGAGTAACGATGAGAATTAAAATAATATTGGATTACTCCATGATTAATAGATTTTTTGAACACTTTTCACACTTTAAAAATTAATAATTTGGTAAATATACATAAATTTTTTAAATTTTTTTAACAATTTTAAATTTAATTTTTTTACTTTTAAAATAAACAAGAGTAATAAATAAATAAATTGCTAACAATATATGGCAAACAACTTTCTAAAACATGTATTGACTAATCTTTATTCGGCCTTTGATATGTAGGCTAGATTAGATAATAATTTTACTTTTCCTTCATCTTCAATCAGAACTTCCCTCATGAGCATGTTTTGGTTGGCATTCTTCATGAGTATGCTCTACTAGCACTATAGTTCTCAAAGGCAAACTGCCTTTTATTCTGGAACGTTCTCTCCTCAAGTTGAAGGCATACGGCATTACCTTACTGTTAACGTCCAATTGTGCGGAACCATTGTCTTTCTAGCACAATACTTCATCTGTTATCTTTCATAGGGCCTGTTTGGGCTCATTTTGCTCATCTTTGCTTTTATTTTTGCTTTTGTTTGTTTGCTTCTGCATTTAAAAATATGTTTTTTAGTGTATTTTTTCACATATTTTATTTTTCTTAAATAAATCAATTTATTTTTAAATATGTAACATCACTTTTTAAGTGTTTTAAATGCTTTTAAAACAATTTTCATTTCCACCAGCCTACTATTGGCTGCCTTAGCCGTAGCTTTGGCATCCACCGGCCATCGTTGCCGTCCACCACCACGTGGACCACCGCTACTTTTGTTATTATCTCATTGACCATTGCCGTTGTTTTTCTGGTGATCGCTGTCATCGCAGCATAAATTAATGTATTCAATATTCAGTAAAATTAAACTCAATTTATTTTTTAAGTAATAAATTTATTTTATTTCAATCAAAACATAAATAATAAATAAAGAAAGTTTCAAACAGCCCCTTTGTTTTATTATGTCCAATTTATTCTTTTATTTTCTAATTAATAAGAGTTAATAAGAGTTAATTTCGACAGGTTGGAGGATAGGCTGGGCTTGCGCCCCATCCAACATTGCATCTGCAATAAGAAATGTTCATATCAATTTCACAGATTCAGCTCCTGCATCTTTTCTGGAGGCTGCACTTACAGCTCTAAGAAGTTCCCCGGAATACTTCCAGTCCCTTGGAACTGTAAGCATCTGTTTTGATCCATCGACTGGTTTTCGCTGGCAATTATCTTCAGCTTAACTTGCTCACTATCAAATTGCAAATTTATATTTTTCATGTTATTTGCTTTGGAAGAGTTATGAAGCCAGGAGAGATTATGCTGTTGAGATTCTCTCTGGGCTGGGTTTCAAGGTTCAATTCATACCGCAGGGTTCGTTTTTTCTATTTGCAGAACTTCCCGAGGGTTGGTTACACTCTGATGTAAGTTTTTTTTTTTTTTTACTTGACATCTATTAATTTTTTTGCCCTTAGTCAAAGCTTTTTGTTTGGCTTGATGACAAATTTAAATAGTTCATAAATGACATTTTAGTCTTTACTGACATTTCGATATGAAGCTATGTAATAACTATATGGATCATAAATAATTATAATAATAGTCCATCTTGTTTTGGGGCGAATATATGGGCATTTCTCAATAATACTAAAAAGAAGAAAGCACAAACTATCAGGCAATTATACTACTAGCTATAAAGCAGGAAACAAAAACAAAAGTTCCACCAAGTTGAATCACATAAAGCTTATATCATTCTGAAGGGCAGGGACAAAAGGGCAAAACAAACTTTAGAGAGTAGCAATTGGGATTTAGCTAAATTTGTACAGCAGAGAAGACAAATCCTCATGTTTAGATCAATAACAAGAGCGATTACTATCATGTTATAATTATTTCTATTATCATATTCATGCTCAATTCAATTAGCAAAACTCCAGAGGGAGGCAATTGAAGAATGCACTCATACGCTCGCCATTTATATTTCTTTTTCTTGTCAAATCACCATCTAATAGAATGCACTCATACGCTCGCCATTTGAATGCTCTGTTTGTAGGTGGATTTTGTGAGGGAGTTGATCAACAAAGGTGGGGTTGCTGCAGTACCTGGATGCGATTTCTTCCATAACAGTTCCAATTGTGAGAGTAAATATTACAATAGGTTTGTTAGATTTGCGTTTTGCAAGAGCGATGAAACCCTCGGGGCTGCTGCACAGAGGATTCGAGATCTCCGACTCATTGGGGGCGAGGGTGTGCTCCAGAAATCTTGAATTTCATTTTTTTTTTACCCATACGGAATTATTTTTACAACTAGTGGCTCTTTATTGTATAAATCTTCGAAGGTTCCTCTTTTCAAGCATTTTGTCTTGATGAATTTAGAGTTAGTGTGATTGGTCGGAAGTAATGTTTTTCAACAATAGTCTCTATGTTCGATCATTTCTTATGCTTTTAATTATGCATGATTGAATTATCATTATTAGCTATGATAGAAAAGTGATTAAAGGAGAACCCTAGATTTAAAATAGTAATATGGTATGAACTAGTATGTGTTTTGAATTTTATTCATATATTAAATTTTAAATTGCAAAATGTGTATATGTCATGTTAATTATTATAATTATATTTGAATTTTGTTCAAATAAAGTTTGAATTATGCTCAACCGAATTTGAATAATATTTGAACTTTATTTGCACCAAGTTGGAATTTAGCTTGAAACTTGCTCAATATTGGCTCCAACGTTTATAAATGTGATATGAATGTGATTGGAGTATGATTTAAATATGGTTTAAATATGTTAATGCTCTTTATTTGTGTTTTTAATGTTTTAAGAAATTGATTCATTTATGTTTGTTTATGATATATGGAGATGTTTGTTATATTATTATTGTGTCAGAAGATTTGTGGATGTAGTGATAATTAATGTCTCGAGATTGTACAGAGATAGAACAAAAATAATATAAAAATAGTAGGAGAAGACACTAGGATTTTTATGTGAAAAAATTCAAAAAGAAAAATCACGTGGTCTAGCCTTGCGAAGTAATTCACTATAAGTGCATAAGTGCATAATTAAAAAGATATGCTATTTTTTGACAATCAAGAAAGATTATGATGCAATAGCAAGTACAAAATTTGTTCGTGCATAAAATACATAAACTTCAGGAGTGAGTTGTATTATGAGTATGGTGGTTGTAAGTAGTTGTCGTAGGAAGTTATCATCAGATTTGTCATACGGTGTTATATGTTACACCATATTTAAGATTCTTTGTTACATTATATTTAAGATACTTTTTAACATAATGGAGTTCAAAGATGGTAGGTGGCAGACTTCTAGTGGTTGATGGTGGTCGGGGGCTACAAAGGACAAAAGGTATAGTTTAGTCTCTAGGCCTAGGGGAGGGCTATTCTGGTCCTCCAAGTGAAGAGAGAGGGTTTATTTATAGGCTCTAGGGTGTTGGGTAATGTAGAGACCCGGTCCATTAAAATTTAATTAGCTTCCTAATTAAAATTCTCACCTACTGCTCACATACTTTCTCACTTATCGCTCACCTAGCACATCTCACCTACCGCTTACGTACCTCTCACCTACCACTCTCATGGTTTCTATAAATAGTCTCTTTTGGCTTAAAAGAGAAAATTTCGTATTGTTCGTGAGTGCATAAAACATAACAAATATATTCTTGAGAGCTAAGAGAAAGAGAGAAAGAGAGAGAGGAAGTGAGAATAAAATAGAGATTTTCTTCAAAATGTCGAGGCGCTCGACGGTGTAATTCCTCGAAAAAATAAAATCCTTTGTGAGGCGCTCGACGGTGTAATTCCTCGAAAAAATAAATTCCTTTGTAGCTCCGTGGACTTAGGTAAATTTGTCGAACCACGTAAATCTGTGTCGCTCTGGTGTTTTTCTGCGTGCAATTTACTCGTTCCATTTTTCACTTTATTGTCGTCGTTTTTCACAAAAACTGGTATCAAAGAATTAGTTCGGATCTAAGGAAGAACGATGATCGAAGATGAAGTGATGACATCGGGGATCAAGAAGTTCAATGACACAAATTTTGCTTACTAGAGGATGCAGATAGATGACTACCTCTATGGGAAGAAACTTCATCTTCTGTTACTGGTAAAATGATAAAAAAAGATGGACGAGGTGGAATGAAAACTGTTGGATTGACAGGTTCTGGGGGTTATACGATTAACCCTATCGAGATCGATTGCTCACAACGTCATCAAGGAGAGGATTACTGCAGGTCTCATGGTGGCTTTATCAGGTATGTTGGAAAAACCATCGGCGAATAACAAGGTGCATCTGATGAAAAAATTATTCAACTTGAAGATGACGAAATGTGTGTCTGTTGCTCAACACCTAAATGATTTCAACACTGACAAATCAGTTGTCATCTGTTGAAATTGATTTTGATGATGAGATACGTGCGTTGATATTATTGGTTTTATTGTCAAATAGCCGAGAAGCCATGATGATGGCAGTTAGTAGTTCTGCAGGTAAATCTAAGTTGAAATATGATGATATTCGTGATTTGATTTTGGCTGAGGAAGTGCACAGGAAGGATTTTGGTGAAGCCTCGTGTTCAAGTTCGGCGCTGAATGTTGATTCCAAAGGGAGATCACATGACAAGAACTCAAACAGTTGAAGATCAAAATCAAAGTTTAGTCAGCAGACAACCTGCTGGAATTGTGTCAAGGCTGACCACATAAAAAATAACTGCATGAATCTCAAGAAGAAGTAGAATGATGACACTAATGTTGTAACTGAAGAAATACATATGCGCTATTGTTGGCAGTTCACAGTTCTGTTGATGAGTGGATACTAGATTCAGAGGCTTCCTTCTATACATCTTCCCACAACTAATTAATGTGAAATTATGTTGCATGTAACTTTGGGAAGGTATAACTGGCTGATGGAAAAATTCTGGATGTGATGTTGATGTGAGACGTTGATATTGCACTCCCTAACAAGAGCAAATGGACTTTACAATTAGTCAGACACGTTCCTGAGTTGAAGAAAAACCTCATCTCTGTTGGGCAGCTCAATGAGGGTGGTCATTCGGTAGTGTTATCAGATAGCACCTAGAAGGTTACCAAAGGAGCATTAGGACTGGCTCGGGGAAGAAAACTGACACACTATATATGACTACAAGTTTACTCAGGCGTGGACACACGAGGCAGAGGTGCATTATGGGGAAGCAGAAGAAGCTCAATTTCCTGAAAAGTGGCAGAGCGCCAAAGATAGGAAAATCGAACCTTGTACAGACCAATGGTGGAGAAGCACAGAGCTATTCACAGAGTTATGAAGAAATCTTGCAAGATGAGAATTCGAGTAAGTGGGAGCTGACCAAGAAGGAGGAAACAGATTTCCTGCCAGGGAATCAGACTTGGGAGCTGGCAGAACTTCCACCAAGGAAGAAGACATTGCACAACAAGTGGGTGTACCGAGTGAAAACTGCGTTTGGTGGCAGTAAGAGGCACAAGGCTGGACTTGTTGAAAAGGGCTTTCAGCAGGGGCGAGATATTGCTCATGCAGTGAGAGTTGTAAGTTTAATACAAGAGTAACCGAGGAAAGAGCTTGGTGGTACAAGACTATGTTGACGGTGATATATCAACTGAGGGCGTTACTCGTGAGAAGCTGAAGTTGTGACTTCAGCTTGTTTTCTGGCATGAAGACAGAGATTTGAGTTGCAGAGGTGGAGGATATCATGTTTGAGGAAAAGGTCAGCATAACTAGTAGATGATGCAACTAGTGTCCCAGTCTCCTAGTGGGAGAATTATTGGATAATGTGGAGACCCGTTCCACCAAAATTTAATTAGCTTCCTAATTAAGAATCCCACCTACCGCTCACCTACCACATCCCACCTACCGCTTACCTACCTCTCACCTACCGCTGTCATGATTTCTATAAATAGCCTCTATTGGCTTAAAGGAGAAGCCAAGCCAAGCTAAGCCAAGCAAAGCCAAGCCAAGTCCTCTTGAGACCTAAGAGAAAGAGAGGAATAGAGAATAAAATAGAGATTTTCTTGTAAACGTCGAGACGCTCGAAGGTGTAATTCCTTGAAGAAATAAAATGTTTGCAACTCCGTGGACATAGACAAGTTTGTCGAACCACGTAAATTTGTGTGTCGCTCTGGTGTTTTTCTGCGTGCAATGTGCAATTTTAAATTTTACTCATTCCATTTTTCACTTTATTGTCGTCGTTTTTCACAACATAGAGGAGGGCTATTCTGATCATTTAATCTCCCATAAACATATGATTGAATAAACCACGTTGATTCCACTTGATCATATGAGTTTTTTTTTCATAAATTGAGGTTCTTAATTACCTTAGAATCGAGAGATCTTAGGCTCGTTGAATTCCTGTCATTGATGCGCTTGATTTATCTATAAATACGTCAAATTTTGAGTTCATTTGACTATCCAATTAACTAACCAAAGCTTTAAAATATTGTTCAATGATTTGATTTATACATGATTGGACTCAAATTGGACCAATTTTGACATCATTTAGTTCGTCTTATTGAGATGGTTAGTTGACGATAAGCTTCGTGCTCTAGATGATTTGAATTTGAATTGGAACATTTTCTGCTTAAAAATGCATTGAGATTTGTGTAAAATGATGAAATTTTGTGATAATGTAAGAGTTTCCCTTATTTTCAAGCAATTTCGTTCCCGCCATCCAAAAATAATAAGAATGATAAAATAAAAAAAAAATAAAAGTTTGAAATTTTAAAAAAATTCAAAAATTTGGTGTGACGGGCAACAACAAGCTGCACAACAGGCATCCAAAAATAATAAGAATGATAAAATAAAAAAAATAAAAGTTTGAAATTTAAAAAAATTCAAAAATTTGGTGTGACAGGCAACAACAAGCTGCACAACAGACGTGCAACATTGTGAGACATGGGGAAGGCACACTTCCCCTCCTCGGGCTGAAGTGCCACTTGAGCTACTATTGTCCCACATTTTTTTCCCTATTGTTGTGCATTTCTTTCTAGAATGCAATTGTCCAACACGTGGCCTATTTTCGTGCCTTCTATGCTTTAAGATGCCAATGCTCGAGGAATCCCGACCCCTTGAAAGTTAGAAAAAGTATCATAATCTTGAGGAGGCAGTATCAACACTCATCAAAGATGCATAGGTACTTTTCCGATAAAAGTTCAATTTTGGCCTTGTGGTCAGATCATTGAATTTGTCAGACAAAACATATTCTCCATCGCAGAAGTACGTCACCGTTTATGAGATAAGCTTAAGTGTAGGACTTCAATTTCCACCAGCTCTTGAGCTAGTAAGTATTTATGAACATATGGAATGTGTTTTTTTTTCCAGATTTTTGATTAGGTTATGACAATCATTATAGGGTTACTTGTCCTCTTTAAGTAGCATAATGCAA